TGCTCTGTCGTTTATTTGAATTGGAGTTAATTGATTCAGTTGGTTAAGTAGATGTAAGCCTTCACGTTTATTCGAGGAAAAAGTAAGAATAAAATTTTTAAATGATTTGGTATATTGTGATACATGCATTCACATATTTCTTTAATCTTCTATTGTATTGTTATTTTTGTTTTCACATCCCTTTTTGGTGTCATCAAATATTCTTTGTGTTGATGAATTATGTTCACTAGTGAATGGATGTTTGAACAACCGAACCGAACTATTGCAAGTCGGTTCGGTGCGATTCGGTTCGGTTTGTTCGGTTCTAACTTCATCAAACTTCTTATCAAACAGCAAACTGTGTTAAAGAAAAAAAAGATATCAACAAAGTAGGAGATTATGAAGCATTAAACACTGATATAATGATATTATTTTTAACCCATAATGATTCAGAAAATGAGTTTAGGGTTTGAGTCTTTGACTCTTTGTGGACATGTCGGGTAGGGTTTGAGATCAGAATGGGTAGTATTGCACTATATTCGATCGGTTTAGGTCGGTTCGGGTTGAAAAGTTTTCAAACCGACCCGAACCGCACTACTCATAAAACCGATTTTTTCGGGTTGGTTCGGTCGGTTTTTTTCGGTTTGGACCAAACCATGCTCAGCCCTAGTAGTGAGGTAGCATAATTTCCTTTACTCATTCAAACGGAGGACCACATTCATATGGATTGAGGAGTGCATGGGGATATGTAACTATTTGAATGAGTGGAGGGGATTATGTCACCTCACTACCAAACACAACTTTTTGTGCTTGGTACCAATCATAAGTTTTTATGCTTTGTAGTGAGGTGATTTATTCTCATCCACTCACTCAAATGGGGCACCACATTCACATGGTTGGAGAGGATGAGAATGACTCCTTACTACCAAGCACATAATTTGTGATTGGTATCAAGTTCTTACATTTCTCTCTATATGTGTGTGTATCTGTGCTTGGTACCAAGTTCCTACATTTCTCTCTCTATATATATATGTAATATGTGTGTGTGTATGTATCTGTGCTTGGTAGTGAGGTGTCTTATTCCCATCCACTCTCCAACCCATGTGAATGTGGTCCCCCATTTGAGTGAGTGGATGAGAATGAGTCACCTCATTACTAAGTACAAAAACTTGTGCTTGGTATCAAGCTTCATATATATATATATTAATATATATATATATATATATATATATATATATATATATATGAGAGAAAAACTTATGTCAACTACAGTGGACCTCCAACCAAAGTTTCTAATCAGATGTGATGGAAAAGTCTTCATATGATCACCGGATCTCTAGGTATCATCACTGGATAAGAAACTTTGTGATGGTCCAACTTAAGTTGACATTATAGTTTTTCTCATATATATATATATAATATATATATATCATATATATATATATAAATATATATATAGAGAGAGAGAGAGAGAGAGAGTAAAATCCTTCAACTAAGTGGTACGCTCACTAAGTTTCTTCATCCATTGATGATTACTTGATTGAGCTACATATAGATGATCCGCTCCGTTAAACTTAATCATATATTCTAAAACCCGCACACATCAAATTTGGGGTGAACCTGTTTGTGGTGTTGACCTTCATGCCACTCGTATCAATTTTTAACGTTTCGAATGAATAGAACTTTTTACATGCTCGAACGGAGGGTCAAACAAGCGACAGGTTTCACCCAAATTTGGTGTGTTAGGGTTTTAGAATATGTAGATCAAGTTTAACGAGCGGAGCACTCTATAATGTGAGCTCAAATCAGTATGCATCAATGGATAAGAAACTTAGTGGAAACGTGCCACTTAAGTTGATAGGAGTTTTAGCTCTCTATATATATATATATATAGTATTATATATATATATATATATTATATATAATTATATATATATATATATAAGAGAGAAGAGAGAGAGAGAGAGAGAGAGAGAGGAATGTTGTATAAAAAAATTGATCTTAGTGTTGGACCCTCTTCACCTTGTTCCTTGTTTATAAAATTGTCTTTGGAAGGGCCATATTCTGTTTATGAGTGCATACTGTTTAACGCAGATGTTTGTCAATTTCTGTATTAATGGGCTCGCTTTCCACTTGATTGTCTGTTAATAATATACCAAAATAAACATCTATAATGATAAAAGAAATTTTCACTTTCTGGAAATGGTGATATTTATCTACACTATGTATGCACACACAGGAACATCTCACATTGATCACATGCATAACTTCTCTAAATTCCTAATATCGTCAATTATCAAATAATTTTTATAGATGGTAAAAATTATCTGCTCCTGCAATTGCTTGGAGCTTCATACTTGTATCCTATGTTTGTTCAATACATATTTTTGATGTTTTTTAAAACAGTTACACATGAAACACGTTTTTTTAATGACTTTTCTTTCTCTTGAATCTTAACAGGTAAACACTTTGAGAAAGTCTGTGAGGCTTGCCACATTAGTTTGAATAAAACTCCTATATTTGGTGAAAATGGTGCTATTTCACCTGGCGGTGTGAGAATAGGTAAATATTATTACTGTTGTCATTATCAAAATTGGACATGAGTTGGCAACTCGTTTTGCTAAATAAGCTACACTAAGAGATAATAAACTAGCGGTGAGGCTCATCCCTCTACTCATATAACTCTACTCATGTAAGAACAGAGGGACCTCACCACTCTTTATCTCTTGGTAACTCATTTTTGTTTGAATGAGGTAACAAGTTATATCTCATATCCCATGTTAGTAGGCAGCTTATATTCCATATCCCATTATAGTTTTGGTGAATGTCGTGACCATCGATTTTGTGTATATTTTATGTCTATTAAAAAAACAATAATAGTGTTAGTGAATGTCCTGACCATTGATTTTATGTATATATCAAGGGACGCCGGCAATGACGACTAGAGGTTGCTTAGAGGGAGATTTTGAGACAATTGCTGATTTTCTACTCAGAGCTGCACAGATTGCGAGTACCCTTCAGAGGGAACATGGGAAGTATCAGAAAGAGTTCCTCAAGGGAATTCAAAACAGCAAGGATATTGCTGAACTAAGAAACCGCGTCGAATCCTTTTCTTCGCAGTTCGCCATGCCTGGATCAGACCTATGATTTTGCCCAAATACATTATCACTTATGTTCATTTTCCCTACTGCACTCAAGTGTTGCTGTAAATTAGAGCCCTTTCCGATATTGGTTATTATTTCCATAGATATCTTTGTAAAAATGGAAATGCTTTATTATGTTTATTATGGGTATGGGTAGATCAGAGAAAGATTGCTTGGTCAATTTTTTTATACCATATGGAAGTGTATTCACCTTTATAATTATTGAAAAGTCCCAGGGTTTTGAAGAATGTCATGCTATAGTTCCCTTTGTGCATCTCACGTGCTCTTCTCATTAATCTGTTGTGATCATAGTTGATGCTTACAGCAACGATCACGCCTATGCTCTAGACGTTTGACTTTTATTAGTAAAAACAAGGCCAAATACTATGCGGACTGAGAATACTAGCATTTACTCTCTCTGTTTTCTGGTTGTTAATATCAGCTTTGTGGATTTCACGAGTTGTGAATCTATTCCTCGATGGAATGGTGAAAAAAATTTACTGATAACCCTTGTGTTGGGAGAAAAAAATTAGGTTAAATCTATTTGGATCACACCTCTGTTTCAGAGCTGATCCTTCGTATTCTTTTTTTATTGCACTGTATTAGGGTCAATTTGGTATAGCTGCTTTTGAGTTGCTTCTGGTTATTTTTCTAAGGAACAATCAATAATGATATTTGGTGAAATTTTCTTTGAATGTTTATTGTAATTACTTTTACTTTTAATAGAGTATTTTTATAAGAAACCTCAGAATACTTTTAATTAAGGGTAGATTCTATTTTTTTTTAAAGTGTGTATGACATTTATCTTTTGACAATATCTTTGAGCATAGTCGTGCCAAGCAACTTAACTGCTTTGGGAATCAACTTTTGGTATATTATTACAAAACGATTACTTTCAGCAACTTATATAGGCTATTTCTATGAACTACTTACAAAATCAGCTTATTATTAAAGCTCTAGCAATACCAGACTGACCCTTAGACATCTCATTGAAGATCATGATCAAATCGCCAAAGGTAACTTACCAATTGTGTTCATCTTTGGTAAGCTTGCGCATAAACAAAACTTCCATGTTGAACTTTTCTAAAAGAAGAGAGAGACACAAGAGTCTTAAAGTTGAAATGAACCACGGAGACTATACAAAGAGCACAAGAGAATCCATGCTCACAGCCAAAGGCAGCTGTAGCCCCAAAAGTGTCTCTGTAATTGCATGTATTTTTTGCACAGAACATGAAATCTAATCAGACAGCGTCCGCATAACTGTGGATTTTAGCGCGCAAAGAAAACATCGAGTTCTGAATGTGTAAATCTTGATAAAATAGTTTATAATTTTACGTGCTTATACTTTTTAGTATAAGCGATTAAGCAAGTATTACTACTCTGAGATGTTGGATTTACTCGATTTTACGAGAACTCGATGAGTATCGAAATGTGCTCTACTATAGGGTTGAAGTGAAGATCGTCGAGAGAAGAGATCGCATTGCTTGCAGAGGTTCTCAATAGCAGAAAGCCCAAGCTTGACAAGGGTGAACTTCCCACAACCTCGAGCTCTGATCCTCTCGCCCATGTACTCACCCAGGCATCCCTATCCTACTGGTAACGTACGACTTGCTGAATCCATGGATTACAGAAGAAAACGAAAAAGATAAAACAAAAGAAAAGAAATGGGAAAAAAAGAAAGTAAACGCAAATGCAAATGTAGAAGACTTTGGAAACAATAACAAATAAGAAAAGGAATTCTAATAAAAAACGCACGCCCGGTGGGACTCGAACCCACAATCGCCTGATTAGAAGTCAGACGCCTTATCCATTAGGCCACGGGCGCTTCGTGGCGCTATGCCTTGTTGTAACTAGCTTAATAAATGTAATCAGTTAATCTACCATTTAGAGACCAACGGTTCCATTAGGATAAAATCGTGCTCAGTTATAGAAAACAAATTATGGGAACAAAGATAAGTAACTAAAACATCAACTAAATTTCACCCCACAGCTTATTTGTGCAATCACAAACACGCTCCATTAGACTTTTCAAGCAATCAACGTAATAAATACATACCGCTTGACATCGTTAGACATGATATTTACAATCGTTGAAACTATGATAGTCCATTTGTACATTTCGTAAGTTCATTGAGAGCCATGCTCCATTTAAATAATTGCTCATTAACACGTACATTCGATTAAAGATCAATACACATCGGCCATCTTTCAAGCCTATATAAATGACTTTGGATAATTGTATGGTAACAACATATCATCTTGCTGTTTGGATTTCTGAAGACGATTTTTCTGAATTTTCCTCTTTCCCCAGTCTGCTGTGTCTGCAAGGAACAATGAAGAAACGTAGATGAGAAATATGAAAGGTTTGACAATATAGTGTTTCCATACCAACTTCAGTTATGCAATTGAGAATGAGGGGAAAACACATCAAATCATTAGGTTCTAGATCTATACGCTTAATTGAACCGATCCTTGAGAAGGGTTAAAGAAATCACTAGGTTCTAGATCTATATGCTTAATTGAACTGATCCTTGAAAAGGGTTGAACATCTCTGAAGGCCAAGAACATTTCTTCATCTGCCAAAATAAGGTGCACCTAAAATCTGTCAAAGTTAAGCTAGCAATATTTAATTATTCTGGAAGAGCTCCTGCTTGTGATGGAAATGGTTACAAGTTGAAAGCAGGCTACTGAATGCTCAGAAAATCTTCTACATAGATGTGGAAGTTATCCACTTGAAGGCAAGGCAACACTTTCAAAGTTTCAATACACAGGCAAAAGTAATGTTCGAGAAAGCAATAGCGCATAGTGAACTGCTTGATCCTAGAGCACAGTGATGGGAATTTTGGAGGCAAAAAGGTGCCTGTAATACTTTTAAATGTAATATGAAGAGTTAAAATCCTTCTCTTAGAAATAAAAAGGTATAAAAATCCTTATCTAAGTGGGTATTTTAGTGATATAGGCGCTGTTCATGGTATTGCCAGTGATTGCGTATATAGGAAACAGAAGAAGATCCATATGGACAATTCAAGAATACTTTGAAAAAAAATAAAGTTTCGAATATCTGTTAAAAGGGAGATAAATAGTAAATATTCTAGATGGTAGCTTAAACACTTTCAACTTCTAGGGACAGTCGTTAAGGACGCCTCTAAGCCTGTAGAACCAGTGCTTAAAGCACCTAGCATCATTTGTAACACTTAACACGAGGCGTGAAAATTCATTTAGATCTTCCTAAATTACTTGGAGGAAGTGAAGCAAAAGAGGGAAGGTTCATGAAAAAGTATCAAGGACAATATACTCACCAAGATGAAGTACAAAAATTAAAAACCTCTTAGATAAGGTGTATGAAAGCCTCCTTATATCCAGATTGTACTTTTCAAGCATTGCACAAGTCTCTTGATAAGTAAAAAAACTTACGCTCCCTTGAGTTCCAATCAGTTACTACAACTTTCATCAAATAATTCAAATAGAATTAACACCCATTTCACACTTTCCAATTGCTGATGCTCTCTTCATCATAATTAATTAATCCCTCTAGACATAACTATTTAAATGCAGTTTTCATTCTCTCTTCAGTTTCTGGAACAAAAGGTAGCAGTTGCAGCAACCTAGAGTGTGTTCAATGTATAACTTTGCATCTTGAAGAAGTTCTCATTCCCCTACTCTCTTCCCCACCCCCACCCCGCTCCCCCTTCTTTCTACTTGCTCTATTGTTCTCCTTTCTTTCCTCTCTTGTCTTTCCACACTAAACGTGTTGCCTCTTTCCATACATGTTACACCTTTCCTAGGAGGATCCCCTTTCATAGGAAGTCATTGAAAGGAGAATATTGTTTCCTTATTGTCAACATAGGGCATGCTATGAGATCTCTAATCAAATAACTTCTCCATTCCCTTTCCTTCATCCAATGATAGTTACTTTGCACCATAACAATATAAATTATATAACGACGAATCTGCTTGCCACATATTGTGTTTCACAAGCAAAGCAAAACATATTATAATAGATTAGCGTCTCACTTGGGAAAAATATTCAATCTGGTCTGATAACACCATGTACACCTCCACCCAAAATCAATAAATTTTGAATGTCAAAAATTCTATTTTCTCTTGTCAGGAGGATAACTAAGAACCTGACTTGCTCCTAGTTAAGGGAACTTCAAGAAAAATACCTGAACTGAGCATCTTAGCCCCCTTAAGCTCAGATATGAGATATCATCCTGATTGTGATTATTCATTGACATTGCTAACCTGTAACCTATACACCAACATGAATATGAAATGTAATTTGAGCCATTTTAATGAGTTAGAACTTAGAAGTGTTTTCATGTTAATTAACTTTTTTAATTTTCATGTTCATTATTTTTTTTAATAATAAATTTGTTGGGTCCCAGGTTGTACATGATTTAATTTGTTTCTATTGACCTAGGTTTCATATTGACCCATGACTTAGTTTCTTGTAAACATACCGGAAGTTCATGCAGTTTGCACTTCATGCCATCTATGACTATTGAAAGCCTCAACGTTTGGTCATCATCAAAAAAATCTAAAGCTCTTATCAGTTAGCAACTGCTCTGTAAAAGGCAAGTTTACAATCAGAATCTATCTCGACTCTTTGTAGTCTAGAAAAATGCTAGAAGGTTGCTTCTTTGTTGCATGAGTCTAGTGTGAATAACCGACTATTTTCTGGGAATGTTAGTAAAACTCTATGCTCCTATTTCCCATCCATATCATCAATGATTCAACACCATCTTAGAGGGTCATCATCAGGTTGATGGCCAGTCCTTAAACTCAAAATATTTCTATGGGAACTCTTGTTAACAACCATTGTGGAGAAATTTGTAGTTACCATTGAGAATTTTTGTTTAACTGCAATCAACCCCGAGAATTCTCTACTTATTTTCCCCTAAAACCAGAGAGTACATAAAACTCAAAAAGAAAGACACATGCAAACAGTTTAATAGTTCAAAATCAGACCTTTTCTAACTGTAAATCCTACCAATACTGTGTGATGATAATTACATAAAAATTAATTGAAATTCTTAAATCTCAATCCCAAATGTATCACCGACTTCTTTATTCTTATTATTCAAGTTGTATCAGAGTATAGATATACTTTAGCTAGGATTATCAAAATAGTTAGAAAAAGCGACAGGAATTTTTTAGATACTGATTCCTTACATCTCCTATCTTTTGAAAGTAGTCCAAAAAAACTAGATATCATAAGATAAGTCAGTTAGTTTGTCTGATTTCCTGTTATATCCCTATCATCAGCCTCCTGTTGGGTTCTCCCAAAATCTTAATTATGTAGGCGTATAAAACTGCCTATGGGTCCCTTAGCACAGCTTAGCACAGTGATTCGACAAACCAACGAACCATCGGGCGACATATCCAAACACGAGCGTTAGTCCACAACATCGAAGCCAAGTGACACGCAACGAAGCGGATTAACGAGGCGACGAGGCTAACGAATCGCACGCAAGCAACATAATGCATCCATTCGCGTGCGGAATCAAATTAACGAGGCGACGAGGCTAACGAATCGCACGCAAGCAACATAATGCATCCATTCGCGTGCGGAATCAAACTAACGGTTCGGTGAGTCATCCAACTGTAGAACAGATTTGAACTCAATCACCGAAGCAGATTTACTGCCAAATCAGAGTTCAGATCAACGGCGAAGTTCGGATAAACCGATAAACCGCGAAACCGGACAACGGACGAAACGGCGAACACCCGGCCAAAAACCAAGCCACCCAATGGTGGCTCGGTGGCTGAGCCACCCAAGGGTGGCTCGGTGGCCGAGCCACCCCAAAATGGGGAGCCGAAACTCTGCCGGAATGAGAATTGGACTTGAACTTTTGAAGCTTTGAAGACTCGACTTCCAGATCTGGTTCTTAGCGATCGTCCACGCCAAATAAGGCAGGAGTTCGAGAGAGATCAGATCTGAGATCTGTACGGTTTCCCTCCGGATCAAAGCTTGGCCTTTGATCCCGAGAACTAAATGCTATTATTTCCTTGGTGAAATAGTACCCCCGGCTGTTATTTCCTTCGTGAGATAACACCCGCTATACCGTGTAGATCCGACCGGATCAAGATCGCGCGGTGGTCCACGGATTAACCTCGGCGCAGGCGAAAAACCCACAAAAGCGAGTGACCGAAAAACAGGAGCTCGTGAGTCGTTCGACAAACAAGGAAGATTGTAACTTTTTTTTTTCTTTTGATCTCGTTGTAACCGGATCTTATAAAAAGACCGGATCTTTGTAATCGATAAACTATTACTAAAGAGTGTACAATGACTTCAATGAAAGCTACGATTTTTCCCGCGAACAATCTGGCGACCACAGTGGGAGCCACCGATCTCGCTGCCGAGATCGTTGCGTCGCAGCCGCGGATCTCAATCCCGGTCGAGGAGGAGGTCGAGTATGAATTTGACCAGCAAAAGTTCGAGGAGTATCTGTCATCCTCGTCCGGATCTACCTTCCCCCGCAAGTCCAAGAAGTTCTCCTCTAGGAGAAAGGTCCGTTGGTACGAAGAAGTCGAGAATACCAACAAAGATTTCACCCCGATTGACGCCAAAGTTGCGTCGGGTGAAGCTCCACCAACCTCCAACCAGGTCAAGCCGGTTCCTGCCAATTCCTCCGTCACCAAAGGAGTAGTGACTCTCTCAAAGAGAGCCCGCCAAAGGCGACGCCAACGCTTGGCCCGAGAATTCGCGAAGGCAATGGAATCCACGGATGGAATCCGCCATAACGCGAGTCTGAAGAACAAGGGAGGCAAACAGCCTCATCAACCAATGAATGACAGCTCCTCCAAGCCGCCAACGAACGAATGGATCCGTGTCAAACAGAATCGTTCGACGCTTGAAGAGCGCATTCGCAAGCGTCGCGCATTATCAGCGCAGGCACGGGCTCAAGTCCAAGAGGCCCGTAGAAGACTGCAGAAGGAAATGGTCGAGAAGCCGCCACCAACCCGTCAAGTCGACGCAAGTTCAACCTCCGGCGAACCAATCTAAATCACCGATAATTCCAGTAGCTACTCCGGGAGATCCCGCGGAATCATCCCGAAGAAGGAGGTCAGTTTCGGAGCCTCGGTCCGCTTCCCGATGAGCGATGCAAAGCTCCAGTTCAAAAACGTTTGGGCCCGATGAAGAAGCCCCGAACAACTCAACATGCTGGGGGTCGCCGCCACCTTCAACATGACAAGGAGTTTATGACAGCTACACGCACCAATTTACGCATTGAAGTCCAGGAGCCCGCTGAGAACTCACGCCCAAAAAGGCATGTCTCGAGGCGCGTGACTCTTGAAAGCCTAAAGAAGGCAGTTC